CAAGACATCGTGGTTTCTATATGTTGTGAACGAACCTTCCAGTTCTGATACAAAGAAAGCTTTGTTGTCTCCTGATTGAATTAGTTTAGATCTCATGAGTAGATGAGACAAGACTGACAGGAAATCGCCCCCGAATATTGGAGTCATGTGCTGGGATGATTCCATGGCATATCAGTGTCTGTTATATTCAGAACTCCCTACACCAGTGTTGTTCTAATGCCACATGTGACCACACAAAAGGACACATTTTTAAAAACTTAACAGGGTTTATAATATGGTAGTACAATAATTTTTTATTATAGTATAATATTTAATCTCAGTGAGCACTCTGCAAGTGAGACATTTATTTAACAGCATCACAAGTGGATAATCCACTGTGTGTGTGTGTGTCTGTCAGGTAACTCATGCACCAAAGCTGGAGCAGCAGAGTCAGCTCTTGGGCCAGTTTGATGAAAAGGCTTTTCTATCCAGTAAGCAGCTGAAGGCAGGTGAGGATCCGTACAGAGAACATGCGTTCAACCTGCAGGAGAGCGACCGACTGGGCAGCGAACGCGCCATCAGAGACACACGCCACTATCGGTAACATGTTGCCATTTGTTACATATTTGGGCTCATTTAATTGAGCATTCAGCTACCAATAGGAGTGTAGTACTCTAAACTCTGTTTAACATTTACCGTGTGCAAATACATTCCTTATGGCTGTGCAGTGAGCTACAGTAGATTTAATATTGTCCTGCTGTGTGCTCAGCCGTGACAATGAAAGCCCTGATCCGCCCTGTGTGTTTACTGCATTCACAGATGTGCCGCCATGACCTTTGACCCTGACCTGCCGCCCACCAGCATCATCATCACTTTTCACAATGAGGCGCGCTCCACCCTGCTGCGCACTATTAAAAGGTGACAGCCTACACTGCATTGAACACACAGAGCTGTGCTGGACAGCAGCGCTTACACACATGAAGAGAAAACTCCGTCTGATTCCACTGAAGAACCTGCAACTGCTTCCTTAAAGAGCTGGTTCTGCCTGACTTAACACAAAACAATGTATTTAGGTAGATTCAGCGATAGGGCTGCAACACGTTCTTTTTGATAATCGATTAATCTAATGATTATTATTACACGGCTGCCTGAAATACTCAATCTGGTTGGTCAGTCGTGACATTCTGAGGTATGTTATGTAACGGATAATGTACATCCAGCCGGTTGTTATTGCAGAATAACCCCCGACAGGGTGATCAGAATCTTGTATCACCCTGAAGGGGGTTATTCTGCAATAACAACCGGCTGGATGTACATTATCCCACTTATTACACAGCTACTTGCCACATAAGTAAATATAGATTATAAAAATAGATTGATTATAGATAGATTATAGATTATATAAATAGATCTATAAATTAGACCTGAAATATTGATTTGAGTTGAAATATTTGAATGCAAAGCTTCCGTGAAAACAGCAGTTGCGAGCAAACGGCAAGTTCAAACTAGACAGACATTTAAGAAATATGGTGCAGTCATACCACTTATTACACAACATTTCACCAGATAAATAATTAAGGCAATAAAAGATACTGATTTAAGATGAAACTGTTTTGAAATCTTACCAGGTTGTTAGTTATCTTATAATCCATTACAGTGTACAAAACAATCATCGCAAAATTACAGCAGCTGCGTTTGTATGAAACGAGAGAGCGAGTCCACGATACCAGGATGACATAATTAAATAATTCTACACATAATATTGAATTGGGTTTTAATATTTTATTAGCTCACCAAACGCAAAGCTTCCACGAAGAAAAACTGTTCCTAGCAAGTGTATAGCGCCGAGTTCAGTTACCTGGATGAGCCTGTGTTATCCATAGATATGTATAGGGGTGTCAAACTTAATTCCTGGAGGGCTGGAGCCCTGCAGAGTTTAGATTCAACCCTAATTAAACACACCTGATCCAACTAATCAAGTCCTTCAGGCTTATTTGAAAACTACATGGTATGTGGGATTGGAACAAAACTCAGCATGGCTCCGGCCCTCCAGGAATTGAGTTTGACACCCCTGGTATAAATACATACTATACATATCTATGATGTTATCAGCTTTTTCCGGTTGTTACCGAGGAATAACATAGCTCGGAATGTCACGACTGACCAATCAGAATCAAGTATTCCACAGAGCCGTGTAACAATCCGCGATGACAACCGTCGTCATTAGCAACGCAGAATAACACACGCTCTTACGGCCAGCGCTTCTTTCACATCTCTCATATCACACCGCCATTCATTCAAACGCAATTGCTGTCATCTTGTGCCTCAGTTATTGGCTGTATTTACTGTAAAATGAAACGGGAGGACTTCAACGTTAACAGTAGGCTTGCAGTAGTATTGTTAAGTGTTCGTCTTGTTGCTAGAACAATCGTTTTGTATACTGTAATGGATTTAAGATAATAAACAGTAGGGCTGCACGATTATGACAAAAATCATAATTGTCGATTATTCCCTTGAAATTGTAATTGCAATTATTAATTACGATTATCACAATTTACATTGAATGATGTTTATACCATTGTTTGATGCAACTGCATGCCATATTTTTATATGAAAATAAACAACGATTAGTTGCCACTTTGAACGATTACGTAATTGTGGCATCCATAATTGTAATCGCGATTAGAAATTCGATTAATTGTGCAGCCCTAATAAACAGGTACGATTTTAAAATGCTTTCATCTCAAATAACATTTTACGCCCTCATCTTTATGTAATTATTGATACGACTGTACATTATGACTTAAATGTCCATCTTGTGTGAACTTCTAGGCTCACAGCTGTTAGTTAGGACCTGTTTTTCTTTGCAGAAGCTTTGCGTTTAAAGAGCTAATAAAATATTCCAACTCAAATCAATATTTTTTGTCTAATTATTTACTTATGCGGCAAGTATCCGTGTAATAAGTAATGTAACTTACAGAGCTGGTGCAAACATATCCACATCGCTGTGATCAGCTGCTTTCTTAACTGCTGTTTTCCCACACTGTCATGTTTGTTGTGTTTATTTAGTTATTGAGAGGAAAGCGCGCAGCAGATATTTAAATATTCTCAGTCAACCATGTATATCGAACTTCTTCTTGCTCCTAACCAAAGAATGAAAACAGAACTTCGCCGTGAGTGTATCGGGCCTTTTCATATGGCAGCATTTTTTTGCATTTTTGTAAAACTTTCATGTACTCGACTGGTTCGGCTTTGTTTGCTCTTCTCATAAGTGCCGTGTCTTCTTCTATTGGATTGCTTCCGGGAGGGCTAAAATACAGTCTTGCTCTACAGTCAAACTACATTATTGCAGGAGCGACTAATCGACAGCAAAAACATTTGTCAGCAATTTTTTATTGTTGCCGTTGTCGATAATGTCGACTAATCATTTCAGCCCTATTCAGTGACCGCATAAACACATTTCATTACACCAAATACACAAAATTATGTTCTTTTTAGCAGCATCATATGACCCCTTTAAATAATATCTTTGACTTAAATAAAACCAGTTAATATAGATGTTACCATTATTAGGTCACCTTGTTATTTCAGTGTATCTCAAACTGACTCTACAGTACATCAACAATGACAGTTTAAGTGTCATTTCTGTATTTTACAGTGGTGGCCAAAATGATTAGAACACTAGTATTTTCACCAACTAAAAAATGGTTTTAAGTTAGTTATTTCTATCTTTTGCTGTAGTGTGTCAGTAGGAAATATCAGTTTACATTTCCAAACATTCATTTTGCCATTAATTGTAATAATCCATTGAGATTTTTGTTTGCACAAGGAGTCTGACAACAGCCAGTGCTCCACACAGAGATCTGATCTCATCATCATCCAGTCCGTCTGAAATGACATGAAGAAACAGCACAAACTCAGACAGACTAAATACAGAAGAACCATGGCAACGTCTCCAAGACGCTTGAAGAAACCATCCTGCAAAGCTACAAAACTGTTAAACGTTTTAGGCACGTGTGTAAAAATGCTCAGTTTGTTCTGTTTCTTCATGTCACGCCTGCAGAGTTTGAGGTATCAGTCATGAGTGTAGTAACAGTGCAGGACACATTACACACTGAAGTTTAATACTTAGTGTTAGTGAGTTGAACAAACCCCAAACCCTAAGTGAGCCCTGACTAATAGTAGCTACAATAGTAGTTGCTGCATTGAGCTTTTTTTTTTTTTTCTGTACCACACGTTATTATATTAGCTTTATTATAGTGCATTTATCTTTTTTATCCTGTTGTTTTTGTTTCAGTGTACTGATGAGAAGCCCACCTCACTTGATACAGGAAATTATTCTTGTGGATGACTTTAGCTCCAACCGTAAGTAGAGCTGACAAAGTGTTGACAAAGTGTTTCCTGTGTATGTATGTGCTCATATTTGACGTATGAGGATACATTAGCTGTGGAGGTCTTTGTAAATATTGCTAATTTTCTGTACATCAGTGAGCCAAGACTAAACCCGGCCCTGCTGTTGCCATGGTAAGGAAACAAACGGCACAATCAGAAGTGTAGCTCTGCTGTTACTGATGTTGTGGAGCGTTAAAGAGAGACGTGATTTTTCCCTTTACCGAGATCATGTGTTGAGCTCAGGCGGCCCTTTATGCTCTCCTTTCTTTGGCATGAGGAACACATGCACTTCACAAAACACACACACACACACACACACACACACATGCTGACAATGAGATAAGAACGCTCTGCTGTTGCCAAAGATGCTTCAAGAGTTCAAGTCTCATTAATTTCAGGTTTCTGAACTAAAATACTGGAAGACCCTTCATGAGCCAGTTAAATTCTGGTTAGATTTGCCTGTCTAGAATGCGTTGTTATTATTGCATGCTGTTTTATAATGTACTACAACACACTGAAGTGCAATTATCATCTGCTGCTATTTGCACTAAGCCATTCTTTAAAACTAAAAAAAGTCCTCTAACCTCAGACATGGCCAAAGATTAGAAGTTGTGCGTTTAATTCAAAGATAGTTCATGTAAAGTTCATGCCATTGTGTATTAATTTAATTTCAGCTAGTCAGGCTCATGTAGTCAATATCTTGAACTATATATTGCATTTTGTCATCAGAGTATATATTCAGTGCTCCTTACATCTTGATGGAGTGCAGCTCTGAGTTTATTCGGGGTTGTCGGTAGACCGGAAAGCTCTGCAATAATTTAAATGAGCTTTCAGTTTGTTGCTGAATAAACTACAATACGCGCCAGGTTTTATCTGCAATACTACGCTTGATTTATAGTGCAGATTGTAGATCTAAATGATTTAATTACTGACAAAAATGACCTGGCACATGGCAATAAAACGGCAATAAAAATGTTAATTTATAAATATACCCTTTTTTGTTGTTAATTCATGTTAATTAAGGATATTTTATACAACTTAAAATGTAAAAAAATTGTTGTTAGAAATGAACCTAGATTAACTTGTGAGATATTGTACTGTTCGCTACAGGAACGCCCTTTCACCGTTTGTATCACTCCGCTTCCCGTATTTCTCACTGCGAGTGTCATGGTGGACGCCCAAATCCACTAAAACTTAAAAATAATACTGTTTTTGTGTGACGGAATGTAGTTTTAAGAGTTTTTTAGGGGAGAATGTACTTGTTTAGACTTCAAATATGCGGTTTGTTAATAAAGATAATGTCTATTTGAAAATTAGCTTCGACACTTTTGGAGACACTGTTCAGCGCTCATGAACCCGCTGAGAGCAGCCTTACCTCGGCCAGATCTTCTGGAATTTGCAGCTGGCTCTGATGTCTCTATATGCAGTGGTTCTCAACAGGGGGGCGCGGAGAGATCGGAAGGGGAGCGCAAATGGTTTTCAAGAAAAAACAGAGACAAGGCATTATTTTGGGTAATCGTATTTTTTGCATTTTATTGCATTTCAAGTAGAATATACACAAGTGGAAAAATGGAAAAACCCCGCTCGGCTTGGAAAAAAACCCCTGCTCTGCTTGGAAAAAAAAAAAAAACTTACTCGGTTACTAACGGAACCTCGGTTCCCTGAGATACGGGAACGAGTACTGCGTCTGCTAGATGCATATGGGAAAAAAGCCTTTTTCTCCTGAATTGAAGCCTTTTTCATTCACGCAGTGAAACTGCACGGCCAGTGGTTCGTGCAGTGTATTAAAAAACGTACGAACCAATGACCTGTGCTCTGAACGGAGTGGAGAGCACCTTAGGTACATAACCTTGCCTTGGTTTCAGGACGACTTTAGTGTCATCAGGCCCGAATTCCAGGCAGGCAGGGCTAATAGAGAGCACCTACAGGTCCCCTATTCGCTTTACTGACGCCAGTGCTAGAAGCAGAGCAGTCTTCAGCGATAGCGACCGAATGTTGGCAGACTGTAGCGGCTCGAAAGCGGGGCCCTTCAGGGCCCTCAGCACAGTGGGCAGATCCAAGCGGAGAAAAAAGACCACTTTAAGGCATAGAGGCGTCTCATAGACGGAGTTCTAGCCTCCGAAGTTATGTTTAAGACTTGCTCTGGGAGGCTTGAAGGCTCCCGTCGAGTGGCCAGAGGTGCAGGGCCCATAGGTCGGGCCGAGGATGCCATATTGT